AGGTATGGCAGCCCTTGGCACTAGTTGGTTGGCACTAGTTGCCAGGTGTCCGTTGGAGGAAGCAAAAGAAAAAAAACTTATACCGGTACCGGAACCGGACCGGTACCACCGGTGCCGGTACCGAAAATTGGGTACCGGAACTGGTACCGAAGTGGGCGGTATCGGTACGGTTCTCAGAACCAGGGACATGTGAGCGACGGCGGTGACGGTGGCGGGTACCGGCGGTACCATTGCCGGTCACGGTACCGTACCGGTACCGTGTCCACCCCTAATCTTTCTTATTCCATTTACAGGCTTACAAGATGTATAAATAAACGAAGAATACAACCAAATCACTTAGAATCCTAAGAGGTGTTTGGGAGTGATTAGCTTATGTATAAAGTGATTTCTACAAAAGCTGAAAGCAAAAAAACCTCATACCTGATTTTCCAAAACGGTGTTCCATGTACAAAATAATGTTGGTGAAAAGCAGAAGCTGACATACCAAACAGAGTAAAATCACTTCCACTCAAAACAGAAGTTAAATTGTTAAAAGCAACGCACTGCCAAACACCCTCTAACTAACTCATAACAGCTTCCTAACAACCCAACTAACTTGTTAAGCCTGTATCAAAATGCAACTAGGATATACAGTTGTATAATATACTCCCTCCGTCCCCCTGTATTTGTCAACATTTGACTTTTGGAATTGTTCATCTAAGCACTTTGACTCATCAAATTCTCTCAATGTGTAAGCCTAAATATAGTCATGTGTGATCTTGTTTGATTTGTCTTAACATATAGATTATTAATATATAATTTTTATAATTTTTTAATATACAAATTACAAGATAAAATGGATAAGGGGGGACGGAGGGAGTTGTTAGTCGGTTTAGTCGTTGTGCCCACGCCTTAGAGGGGGGGTGAATAAGGTGTTTGAAAACTTTTCGAAGTTTAATAAAAACGGTGTTGGCAAATGCGGAAGCAATAACTAAAACGCAGAAATAAAAGCGTAAATAAAATGCACACCGATTTTATACTGGTTCGGGAAACCCCTACTCCAGTACCTCGAGGCTCCTCCTCAAGGATTTCCTAATCCACTAAGTCTCGGCCTCTTGAACTCCGTCAAAGCACCGCACTAGTTTTGGCAAACAACCCTTGCCAATAGGATTCACTCCGAGATTTCACAACGGCTATCTCGAACCGTTTACAATGAAGATTTAACGGCTATCTTCTACCGTTCCCCCAAGGATTTCAAAGGCTATCCTTGAACCTTTACCCAAGGATTTATACGGCTATCCTTAACCGTTACAACGTGAGAATTT